GCCACTTCTGACCGTTGGATCCAGCTACCTTCGCAAGCATTTTTATGTTCTACCAATCTTTGTCGAATAGGTCGGAATGTCTCACCAATATTACATCGACCACATGAGCAAACAATCTTGTAGCAGCCGGATCTAGATTATGGGTCATATTTCTCTTTAAAAGATGGCATAATAGAAGAAAGTGTAAAGGTTTCTTTGAACACTGTTTTTATACCCCACTTCTTCACTAATTCGCCTATCTTTTTTTGAGATAAAAAATGACGGCAAAATTAGGACTCTTATTTAATAAATTTCGAATTTCATAAAACTTTTAAGCAAGTTCAAGTTGATTTCAAAAACAGGTCTTCTAATTGCGTATCCGCACTCACTTTAATTGCAGTATGCACTGTATATACTTTAAATTTGATGATAAAAATAAATATTTTGGTTAGAAATCTGGCCATTAAATAGTTAGCCAGTTTAACATTTGGTGTCATGAAACAAATGGCTTGGAAAAGAATTTATAGAAGCGTATATTTTGGGAAATTTTCTATTGGTCGCTTAAAGTAGCTCTTATATAGCAAAATAGGCTAAAACAGCAAAAAATGACAGATGAACTAACTAAATAAATAAATAGATAAACAAATAAGTACAATTATAAGTCTGTCAAAAATCATATGGGAGAATGTCCTATAAGAACCAATTATTTCCTATGATTATTGCTGCCAATAATTTTTTAAATTTAAAGTTATTTGAAAAGACCATTTTCATGAATGCCATCAATTTTTTTTACTGCGACCTTAGCAAAGTTGAAAATCAAGCACTTTTCGTTTAATCCAAAAAATTCGAAAAAATATATAATAATGAATATCAGCATGTGAAATATTATATCAATAAAAAAAATATGATAACATGTTCAAATTTCAAATGCTTTCTGGAGGTATAATCGAATTTCATGAATAACTAATGAGCGCGAAACGGTATTGCATTAACAAGTATAGGTTCATGGTTGAAATAATGTAATTGCTGTGCTCGATTCCATCTCGAAGGAAAGCGTATGATGAAGATTTATCTGAAGATATATCTCAACAGAAGATGATGGCGGATTTCCCTTAACCAGCAATCAGTTGGCTTTACTGAAACATTCTTTTCGATGATGTCCCCAAGCTAATCTACTTCGATTTCAGTGATAAAGTTTTAAGCTTTAAGACAACATTAATAAGTAGCTTTCACTAAAATCAACCAGCAGCTGGCCAAGAGGATACCTACGAGAGTCCCAGAAACCCTAAATTTATTTTGAAATAATATATTCTGTCTGCAAAAATATCTAGCCTCGTCGATACCAAATGAACTAAGAAGTTCAGCCCAGCATTAATAATCGCTAATATACTCTTTTGTGAAGGTGCGGGTGATTTAGGTGACATTAAGATAGCCAACCTGGAAAACACTTGGCTGGCACGTATTCAATCCATGTTGCGAGTGCAAGACCTGTAGATTTGAAGAAAAAGAAGCGGCCTGAGTTGGTATAAAAGTATTACTGGCTGAAAGTCCAGTAGCTGATACCAAGGGTGGTTCTGGGGATTTAGAGGTTGTGACAGTTAAAGCTCCAGTGACTGGCACCATTTTCGAAGGTAGCCCCGGTAAATGGCCTGATTGACCTACTTGCATTCCGTAAGATTGGGCAGGTGAGGCAGTTACAATAGTTGAATTAGGAGCCGCGGCAAGTTGGAGCATTGTTACTGAAGTCTGAGCACGCGGACATGAGTTAGTATTGGTGCTACATAAGGCAACACCACCTGTTAAGCATACGGTTGCTTGATTGACCAGACTATTCGAGGCAAACAGGCCGCTTCCTAAAGTATGTGTAGGGAATCGGCCAAGCTGCACAAATGAAGAAGATGTCGAACTAACAGTAAAAGATGATGCCGAAACCACGGCATCCAAGTTGACTTGCTTCCCCAGAACGCAATTCTGTCCTGATGTGGCGCTAAGTTCAGATGATCGAGCAACTGGAGGAAAATTTTGCTGGAAACCAGTAGTAGTGGCCGCTTCTTGGTTAGTTTCATCAAT